GGGGAATTCTGGGAGTTGAAGTCCACACATCTTAAAATTGCCAAGGTTGAGAAACACTGCACTATAGAATAGGCAGAGAGATTCTTTGCCTAAGACCTTGTTGTATAACCACAGTGAGAGTGTAAGCGAAATAAAAGAGTGTCTTGTAGAAATAGGGAGTAGGCCTGACAGACTTTTATTTTCCTAACTGGAATGCAATGAGTAAATCAGCATTTACCAGATTTACAATTTGAAAGCGGAGTACAAACGTTTTTCAGATTTCTCTTTTCCTGTTCACCGACTGAATTGTTTTAAAACTGAAAATGTAAAGCTTGCAGGTTGGATTAAAAGAGGCACTATTTCTTTAGTCTCATGTCAACAACCTCAATACTAATGTAACAAGCTGAGAGATTCAATGTGGCCTTTTAGTATTGTATGTTAACAGATAAAATTTCCTCAAGTTCATCTTGATTCTTGGTGATGACATGGACACGTCCATGTAGTTTCTGGGTAAAAATACAGAAGTGGTTTCTATTTTCTTTTTTTCCGTTTTTTTTTTTTTAACTCCTTAATCCAGAATTTCCTAACATTCTCCTTTCCCACTTTTCAGGACCAGCCAAGGTCAGCTAAATGCTGCCACCTATTGATCATGTAACTAGTTAATAAAATAATAAGCATTTATTCTAGCAGACAATGATGCCAAGCCTTTGAGTATACAAATTTGGTTATGTTGAAACAATTATATTTTCTCTGTGGAATACAGAAATAATATAGTTCGTTTGTTTTTGAACCCATGGTAAATCTATTGGGACATTCAAGGTATATTGCCATATAGGATTGTACTATTAGTTGATTAGATAGTGCGTGAACTTAGAAAATTCAATAGTTAGGTTATATGTATAGCAACCATATACAGGCTGCACAAATCCTGAGGATCATGAGCTGGCAGCAAAAAGGTATTCAGTGTCTGCTCCATCTAATGTCCAGTCCGGATTCGATTAAACCTAGTGATGTGTGTTTTGTGCATACAAACTTTTCCAAAACGTAGGCACTACCTTCTGAACAGGAGGAGGAAACTAATCGTGTGCCAGTGAAGATGAATGAATCATTTGAACTTTATAGCGAGTCAAACACGCGTTGCAGTTTACGCCGGCCTTATAAACCGAGATCTCGGTTACAGTTGCGCAATCAAGGGATTAAATAAAGGAGGCGGGAGTTCAAGCGCGTGCGTAGAGAAGGAAATGAAGCTGTTTTCCCATTGCGCAGGCGTAATGAAGAAGAATGAACGTCATGCCTTCCGTCGGCGGTAGGGTGGCTGATTCGAATGCTCACCGGTGCGGCGTTTAGAGCAATGGCGGGGCTGCGTTTCGGGCGTTAAGGTTCTCCCTTCGTTTCTCTTTCCCCGAGAGTAGCGTTGGAGTCCCAGCCTTGCCTCTGCGATGGTAAAAGAAGGACGGGCGTTACCTGGGAGGAGGAATTAAATATAGAGAATGACTAGGTGTCTGTGCCCTTGGTTTCCATGCAAAGAAACTGAGGAAGCTCTGTTGACCAGCCAGGAAATCCCTGAGGTGGTTTACTGTTATAAGGTCAAAGGGTACAAAACCCAACGGTAAACGTAAAAGCAGTAAACATTTGAATTTAAATTTATAATTTGCCCCAGGGAATGTGTGAGTGTGCGTTATGTAGCGATATAAGGGAATGTGAAAAGGAGGTTTTAGTGTATATGAAAATATGCTTGTTATTTATTGGTTTAGAACAGCGCTAAGCAGCCGGTTGACTTTTGGAAAGTGTTTTGGACCGCAGCTGCAAATCTTTTCTCTCAGCCATGTTGGTTGAGGTTATTTGAAGCAAAATGCCTGGAAGCTCCAACGGACTTATTCCTGATTTAGAATATTAATATTGGGCTTTGTGGCCACAAGAGGCTGTTAATGATTCTCAAAATAGTGGTTACACATAAAGCTGGGAGTATTTAAATAATATTTACCTTGCCATTTACCTTGATGTCTTTTTGGACAATGGTGGCCACTCTTGCCTTGCTAGCTGCTGTTAGTAAAAGGTACTGTATAGCGGAGGCTATGCCCACTATATATGAAAGCCCTGTAAAAAAGGATTAGTTCTATCCCTTTTGTTCTTAATTGGGACTGTGGTTTACTTTCCCACAAGGAATCCCCTGACTTGTTTCATGGTACACTAGCTTATGACCAGTTGTGTTTAAGTCACTGTTTAGGTTTTATGCATGCTTGCATATTGTTGATCCTGAGTGTTATATGAACTTTGTATGAGTCCTCCCTATTCAGGAAGTAAGTGTACAAATAACATCAAAGTTGGGTGTTTGTTTAATTTATTTCATAAAGTTAAGGAATATGATAGTGTGAAAAAGTCATCACTTCCCCTAGTTTAATCAATCCAATTAAATGGATAAGTAGGGCTAGTTGTGTGAGTACTACATTAAATGGTCAGAGCTGATATGGATCATCCTTGCCTTGTATAAATCTAACAAATCTTACATTGCAGTGAAGCCTCACCATGAGATTCTAGAAACATATGCCTCACTGAAAAGAACTTTATAAAAAAAGACAGTGATGCCCAAGTTTGAAAAAGATAACAAAACCATTTATAAAATACTGGGGCTCCACCAATTTAAATTCAGAGATACAGACTTGAAATGGGAAGATTTTGCTGTTTTCCTCCCCCCCCCCCCCCGCAAAGTGTGGCCACCCTGTCAAAATCACTTAGAACCTGGTGTAAAATTGTCCAGGAAGTTACAAAGAGCTTCAGAAACATCCAAGAATCTGCAGCCTCTCTTGCCTTGCAGAGAGGTCTGTGTTTATAGTTCCATTATCAGAAAGCATTGGGTAAGTGTGGGATTTCTGATAGAATAGCAAGTTGGAAGCCATATGTATGAATGAGAATAAATTCAATGTTTTGAAATGGCTAACTTGAAGTCTAGACCTTAACTCCATAGAAATGTTGTAACAGGACCACAATGAACAATTCATGTTAGATCAATGGGAAAATATGTGGAATAAAGGTTTGAAGTTTACTCTTAATTATAACTTAAAAGAAAAAAAATGATGTACCATTGGTATTTGACACCAGATAAACTGTCCAAGATGTATAAAGGAATCTCAAATGTATGTTGGAAATGCAATCAGTGTGAAGGCACTTTTTATCATTTGTGGTGGACTTGTGAAAAAACTAGGAAATATTGGGATATGATATGTATTTTTATTCAAAAAATCTTAAAAATGGATATACAATTGAAACCAGAGACCTTTCTTTAAGGTATGATGGACAAACAAATAGAAAATATGGAAATTTGTTTCTTTATATAACAGCAGTGAGACTTTTATACACGCAAAAATGGAAAGACCTACAAATACCTACAGCTGAAGAATGGATATTGAAATTAATGGAATCAGGGGAGATGGCGAAACTGACAACTTTGATTAAAGAAAGGACATTGTTTAGCTTTGTTTCTATGCAGAAACCACTCTTGGATTTTTTACCTGATACACAAAAAAATGAAATTTTGATTTTGGGATTTAATGACTGATTTATTTTATAACTACAGAAATATCTTGTATTCTTTTTATATTTTTCCTGATATAACCTTATTTTGTAATTTTTTTTTAAATGTTAGAGTTAAGGATAGTTATTTTTTAGATATTGGAGTAAGAGGTGAATTTATTTTATACCTATGCCTGTACTAAAGAAAGTCGGAAGTTACTTTTCTTTTTTTGTATTTTTCTTTTTTCTTTTTTTCTCTTCTTTGAATCTTTTTGTATTTTACTTTTTTCTGAAACTCAATAAAATGTATTAAAATAAATTGTTAGAAACCCCTCAGATATTCCTAAGTTGAAGCTGTTCATGAGGCAGGAATCATCCAAAAATTCTTACACAGTGAGGTGAGAGATTGATCACCAGTTACAGGAGTGTGTTGTCACAGTGACTGCAGCTAAAGGTGATGTAGCCAATTACTGGAGGCAATTATTTTTTCAGATTGGCTTATTGTATATTGAATAACTTTATGAAATAAATACTAAGCGTTGGTGTTACTTTTTTCACTCAGACTCTGTTTATATATTAGAAGGACACACATGAAGCTCAGATAACACTCAGAGGCAAAGATATGGAAAAATTGAGAAAAGCCAAAAAGC